TTGATATATATGTTAAAAAAGATAGTAATGAAGTTTATTTAAATATAATTAATATGTTTCGTAGAGAAAATATAATAGAAGAAAACCATGTAGAAATCCTTTTAAAATCAAATATTGCTTCACTTATACATGAAGCAGTACCTTATTATATATCAACTGAACTTAGAAGCATACTGTTAAAATATCTTAAAGATGATAACAGCACTTATCTTTTTAAAAGAATTATCTATGAAATATTAAAAAAAAATAATATTAAATTAATGAAAGATAAAAAAAGAAAATATGAAAATTGTACAGAAATTGAAAACATAGAAGAATATAAAAAACTTCGAATGATATATATTTTATTAAATGGTGGCATTTATTACAATAATATCTATTTTACTGACTATGATATTTAACTATTATTTAGTCAGTCTTATAAATAAAATTTTTTTTAAACTCAATAATACATTTATAATTTAAGAATAATTTTTTATTAGCTATTATTTAACCTATGATTTAATTTGTTTAAACTATTTATCAATAAACTATGATAGAATTTACTATTTATTAATAAACTCATGATAAATTTGTCTATTAATCAATATATTAAACTTTGTTGATATATTTGTTATTTGCTATGATTTATTACAATAAATACAAGTTTAAATATTGGCAGCAAATGCTTTTGTCTCAATAAAAAAATGTCTAATCCCAACTCTTAAGATATTGTTTATTCTAATGATTCTTCTTCTACTAGTGATCCAGTAGTTTCTCTTAGTCATATGATAGAAGATAGTACCACATATTATTTTTACACCCATATATACCTCTGACATGAAATCCCAAAGTACCTAGACCAATAAGGATTATAGATATATTTGTATTTGATAGTATTTTGACTAACTCTAACCCTTTATAGACAAATTGGTTATACTAACAATAATCATTGTGATAATGATATATTTATACTCCTATCTATAGGCAACTTGATAAGGATAGAATATCTTACCAAAAATTACAATAGTATGAATGTTATATACAACAAACAACATAATAGACAAATTTATTGTATTATTTGATTCAATAAAGTGTACCCAGATAACAATAGACAAATATTATTTTTGTAAATTTATTTAGCTTTATTAAAGTTAATCTTGACATAATAAGATTTGTAGTAAATTATATCAAATAGCTTGTCCTATCAATCATATTTGTTAATTCTGAGCCTTATAAATAAGCCAAATAATATATCTCAACTCATCACATACAATCAAACAACAAATGTCTCAACATAAGACCATTAAAAATAAAAGATGTTCTTATTTAAAACAAATGAAAAAACTTATCAAATATGCAAAAAAAAGGAAATTGTTGAATCCCACACAGAAAATTATTCTAAAGAACATAAAAAACAATTAGATAAACTTAAACCTCCTATTCTGTAGTATTGGAATGAACCCAAATTTCTTAATAGATTTGATTATATGACATATATCGATGAAATGTTCGATGTCATTAATCATTGGGCTATTTGTAATAAATTTGAAGAATATTGTTAAACAATACTCAAGAAAATCAAGAAAATTATTACTGAAGAAAATTTAGTAACTTGTTCTCGATAAAATAGATATTATAGAACTAAATGATGACTGCTCAATGATGATAAAGGGAAAGGGAAAATGTATAATTTGTATTCATTGATATTCTAATTCTTGGACTTCCTAGATAAATCAATTATTAAAGAAGTCCAAGAATTAGAATATTAATGAACAAACAAACTTTATTTACTAGAACTTTATTTATACTTTATTCAATTTTTTACTTTATTATAATTTATAATATCTATTAAAGTATAATTATTTAAAAATAAACATAATAATAATATTTTGAACAATAAGTTTATTGAAGCTATTGAATTTACATGTAATGTAATATAATAATATACAAAAAAAATAAATTGAAAATTTAACCAAATGAATATATAATTGAATATCTATTATACCAGTTATTGATATTCTAGGTTAATAATTTTTGATTTAAACAAGTATATTAAGAATCATTAACCTAGAATATCAATAACTAGTGAAAAATTATTCTATCGCTACTGCATCTTTAAAATTCATCTGAAAGAAATTGTAGCTTCTTGGTCTTCTTTTCCTTAGCCATCTTGAGAACATTACTAATAACTGCATCATCTTTTTATTTTCGTTCTTGTCTTCTTCAGTCTTCTCATTGAAAAGATGAACATAATTGTTATGGGCCTTTATTATGATTTGTTGTAACAAAATTATATCATTATTTCACTATGATTCTCTTTCTACAGAATCAAGTATCCACGTAGCCAGAATTATCATTAGTATCAGAATGACAAAACTTAAATAAAGGTAATATTTCAAAGTGATTATTTCAGCATCTTTCAAATTCTCAATAGTTCTTTCTAAATCTAAAGAAGTGAGATAAGGATTGTAGAGCTATAATATAACTATGAGATACAAAGTAATAGCAACAATTACAAGATATAATATTTTTTTCTTAAGATATTTATTAATGATTTGAAAAGAAAATTAATTAAGAAATTATTTTACACGATAAGAATTTATAAAATTTATCCAAAGAATATTTTTTTTTTAAACAGTATTATTTATTATATGATACAACTATTAAAATATAATCATTTGAAAATAAATATAATATATATATATAAAAATGAACTGGCGATTAAAAAAATTTATGAAATTATTTTATGTATACAAACTGTACTTAGTAGATCTCTAAGTCGAAAGTTTGATTCTAGTTTAGAGCGAGCCAATCCTAACTGACTAGTTCAGAAGGTAGCCCTTAAGTTACTGCATTTGTAATCTTTTATTATTATAATTATAAACATACTTGCTTAGTTATTTTTCAGTGAAGATAATGCAAGAGCATAAGAACTAAAATGTAGCTTTAAATTTACACTTAATTGGTTATACATCCAATTCATCATACAGTTTATTCATATATAACTTATATATATTGTTATACCAACTGTTTAAATTATTTCAATCTGTTCGTATTTCTGATTTTCTAATAGACTAACTAAATGCTTCTAAACTCTATAAACTTAGATTTAATTTTTATAATAGAATAGGAGTTAAGAAGGATGGACATAAGGCATTCGAACTTTATCAGAAAGTTGCAAATATAGGTAATGCTATTAGAATATTTAATCTTAGTTGTTGCTATGAAAATAGAACTGGTATAGAGAAGAATAAAAACAAAGTGTTCGAATATTATCAGAAAGCCACTGATATAGATTATGCTCTTGGAATATATAATGTTGGTATTTATTATGAAAATAGAATTAGTGTTGAGAAGAATGAAAAGAAGGTATTCGAATACTACTAGAAAGCAGCAGACATAGATTATACTAATGAAACATATATGGTTAGTAATTGTTATCACAATGGAATCAGTGTTGAGAAGAATGAAAACAAGTTATTCAACTATTACCAGAAAGCCGCAGACATGGGTCATGCTAGTAGAACATATAGTATTGGTATATGTTACTGACATAGGATTAGGGTTGAAAAAAATGAATATAAGGCTTTCAGATAGTATAATAAAGCTTTTGATTTAGAAAATATTCATGCAATATCTATTGTTAGGAATTGTTACTATAATGGAACAGGAACAAAAATAAATAAACAAAAAGCTCTTGAACATTATTTAAAATCTACTAATTTAAATCATGAAAATGGAAAAAAAAGTTTAAAGAAAAATTTTAACTTAACTTGAATTTCATATGAAGAACTTAATCTTATTAGAAAAATCGGACAAGGTAGATATGGAGCTATATTTTTAGCTAAATAGAAAAATACATCAGTTGCAATTAAATTAATTTATGATTCTAATAAAAACCATAACGAATTCTTAAAAGAATTAATAACCTTCTGTAATATTGATGATGACAATCCATCATTTTTAAAATGTTATAGTTTATCTCAAGAGAATTCTAGAAATAAAGATTCTATTATTGTATTAGAATATGCAGAAATAGGTTCTTTAAGCAAAAATCTTCATAAAATCTCAAGAATAAAATAGAAAAATAAATTAAATATATTACATTGTATCATTTTTGATTTAGAAACAATTCATTTAAAGGATATTCTTCATAGAGATTTACATAGTGAAAACATATTATTGAACAATATTGATAGTGCATATATTACAGATTTAGGTTTGTCTACTTCATGTTATAGTTTGCAATATAATGAGATCAATGGTGTCTTGTCTTATGTCACACCTGAAGTCTTACTTGGTCAAGAATTCATGCAAGCATCAGATATTTATAGTCTTAGAATTATCATAACAGAAATAATGACTAGTCAAAGACCTTTTGATGGTCAAAATTTTGATACCAAACTTGCAGTAAAGATCTGTAATAGAGAAAGACCAGAATTTACATCAGAAACACCTGATTGTTACATAAAGTTAGCCAAACGATGCATGGATGTTGACCTGATGAAACGACCTATAATTAGTGAAATTAATTCAATCATCAAGGAGTGGATTAATGATAAAGGTGATATTGAAAAACAATTTGCGATTGCTAATGGAATAAAATCAAGTCCAAAACCAAAGCTTCATCCCGATCATATGTACACTAGCAAAATCATAAATACTAAAGAAATCATAACAGCATCTCAAGGTATGTATTTTAATAAATTTTTATTGCAAAGTATTTTATTATTTTTAATTTATTTTTTTTTTTTAGATTTTGATAGTAGAGTACAAAATTTAATAATCTGATTTGATATAAGATAACGTAATAAAAAAAATAAGTTTGTATGCTAGAATTTGAGAATTGAATATGTATAAATTAAGCAACTAAGATTTTAAGTTTATTAATAAGTTTATATAATAAAAGTATGTGATTAAGATCATAAAATTTTATTTCAATTGGTTCTTTCGAAGTCATATGCCATAATTCCGCATACATTCATAATTTAAAAAAAAACATCATATTATTCGTAAATTTAATTATCATTCGAAGCATCACTAATTGTCAAATCTTGTAATTCGCTATCGGGATAATCTTTTAAAATAGTTTTAGTATAAGGAATAATTTTGCTTCCAGTGAACATGTCTGTGTAGAAGTCATTGATATTCTCGATCGTTACTTTTGATGCGGACAGTTCAGATATGATACTTTCATCGTTCTGCCACTCTTCAAAAATTTCACTGATTTTTACTGCTGTAGGTCTTTTATCTGGATCTTTGTCCCAGCATTCTTTCATCAGATTTACATAGCATTGCGGAGCCTCTTCGTTCACTGGCGGTCGTAAATTTTTAAGACATATTTGCAACTGAAGATCAACCTCACTTAATTTACAAAGATATGATACAGACATTCCGTATAAGATTTCCCACATGATCATTCCAAATGAATAAATGTCAGACGCTACTGTACATGGTTCTCTGTTCAAAACTTCTGGTGCGATGTAGGGTAAGATCCCACAAACATTTCCTGATTTATCCTTCAATTTCACATTGGACATCGAAAGACCCAGGTCCGCAATGTACGCGTTGTCCAAATCATCTTGCAAGATATTACGACTATGTAAATCCCTATGCACGGTTCCATGAAAATGGATCGATTCGAGATCACTAGCAATGCAATGTAACAAATTTAATTTCCTTTTCCATTTCATTCTTGATACATCGTGAAGGTTATCACGCAGAGAAAGCTTCTTTGCGTATTTCATGACTATCAAGTATTCTCCGTTATTGGGATATCTTGATATTCCGTGGCAATGTAAGAACGATGGATTCTCGTACCCGATCTCACAATACAATTTCAATTCTTGCAAGAATTCTTGGATATTTACATTTGACCCGTTGACTGACTTAAGCGCGATCCATGTCAAAGCATTTCTATTTTTGTCAAGCCAATAAGCTTTATACACAGTCGCGAATCCGCCTTTACCGATTTCTTCAACGTATTTAAATTCATCATAAGAAATCCACGATAGTTGATATTTCTCATCGTCTAATAATTCCTTCAGATCATCATCAATATCTTGTTCGTGCACTAATGATTTCGATCTCTTTATATTTCTTTCCTTCCGGTACCAATGATTAGCTCGTTGAATGTCTCTTTGTACTCCGATCCCGTTTCTGTAACAATCACCAACTTGGATCATTCCTTGCATATTACCCAGATTAGCAGATCTCATAAAGTATTCGAATGCCTTATGTTCGTCCTTCTCGACTCCGGTTCCGTTTAGATAACAAAGACCAAGATTAAATGTTCCATCAGCATGACCCATCTCTGCGGCTTTCAGGTAGTATTTGAACGCCTTACACTCGTCCTTTTCGACACCAGTTCCATTGTAATAACAAAAACCAAGATTATATGTTCCATCAGCATGACCCATGTCTGCGGCTTTCTGGTAGTATTCGAACGCCTTACACTCGTCCTTTTCGACACCAGTTCCATTGTAATAACATAAACCAAGATTATATGTTCCATCAGCATGACCCATGTCTGCGGCTTTCTGGTAGTATTCGAACGCCTTGCGTTCATCCTTCTCTACACCAGTTCCGTTGTAATAACAAAAACCAACCATATATGTTCCATCAACATGACTCATGTCTGCGGCTTTCTGGTAATATTCAAATGCCTTGCGTCCGTCCTTCTCAACACCGATTCCATTCTGATAACAATAACCAACGTTAAATGTTCCATCAGAATGACCCATGTCTGCGGCTTTCAGGTAACATTCGAACACCTTGTTTTCGTCCTTCTTGACACCGATTCCATTCATATAACAAATACCAACGTTAAATGTTCCACCGGCATGACCCATGTCTGCGGCTTTCTGGTAACATTCGAATGTCTTGTGTTCGTCCTTCTCGACTCCGATTCCGTTTAGATAACAATTACCAATGTTAAGTGTTCCTTCAGCATGACCCATGTTTGCGGCTTTCTGGTAATATTCGAACGCCTTACGTTCATCCTTCTCAACACCGATTCCGTTTCGATAACAATAACTAACGTTATATGTTCCATCAGCATCACCCATGTCTGCGGCTTTCTGGTAATATTCGAACGCCTTACACTCGTCCTTCTTGACACCGATTCCTTCGTCATAACAATATCCAACATTAAATGTTCCACCAGCATGACCAATGTCTGCGGCTTTCTGGTAATATTCGAACGCCTTGTTTTCACCCTTCTCGACACCGATTCCATTGTCATAACAATATCCAACATTATATGTTCCACTAGCATGACCCATGTCTGCGGCTTTCTGGTAATATTCGAACGCCTTATATTCGTCCTTATTGACTCCGATTCCTTTTTCATAACAATAACCAACATTAAATATTCCGTTAGCATCACCCATGTATGCGGCTTTCTGGAAATATTCGAACGCCTTACGCTCGTCCTTCTCGATACCGGTTCCGTTTAGATAACAAAAACCAACGTTATCTGTTCCGTTAGCATTACCCATCTCTGCGGCTTTCAGGTAATGTTCGAACGCCTTTTTTTCGTTCTTCTCAACACCAATTCCTTTGTCATAGCAATAACCAAGACCACATATTCCACTAGCATCACCCATTTCTGCGGCATTTTGATTGTAATTGAATGCCTTATGTTCGTCTCTTTCAACCCATTTACCAAGACGATAACAATTTGCAAGAATAACTTGAACTGTAGGATTTATTTTATCATTCAAGCACCAATTTATGATATCTTTTGAATCTTGATTTTTCTTTGCTATAAATATATCCAACATGTCAAGAATTTGTTTTGAACTTTTACCTTTGGATCTTTCTTCATTATACAGATTACACACTTCTTTAACAATTTCACTAAAAAAATCTTCTAATCGATTATTATCTTCCATTTATTTAAAATTAATGTATCAAATAGCCATTTTTGATTTATGCAAATAAAAACTGGTTACACTTAATTACCAGAACAGAATTTTGGTATCACGTATTGTTAAAAATAATATTTTGATGAAGATCAAATAAGCCGGAGTTCAAATTGAACATTTTTATCGTTTTGAAAATAAAATTATATGATAAGAATTTATAAAATTTATCCAATAGAAAAAGAATATTTATTTTAAGACGATATTATTTATAATGCGATACGACATTTGTAATGAATCATTTAAAGTTACAAGTGATAACATTACATAAAAATTATTTTGAACAATAAGTTTTATTAAAACATTGAGATAATACATGTGATACAACATGAATATTTAAACATAAATTGAGTGTCCTTTGGTTGGTTATCCAGGCCATGCCGCGTGGAGGCAGACACTCTTGATGGCCCGGTCCTCATCAAACGTTTAAAGTAAACGAATGAATCGTCGAACTCTTGATAAATAATTTCTAGAAAAAAAAACTAAACAAGCAAGTGTTCATAGCGGCCCTCCTACAGAAAAAAACCGATCATCCACAGTAAATAAATTACTAACGTCACGGTTATAGAACGAAAGGTCAGTAAACCTATTCGAGCGGGGTAGGTCCCAGCGTCAGATTTCTCCGACTCTTTGATCTAGTGAACCTTTATCAATGTCATCTTGGTTCTCGATGACGAGAGAAAAGTACGGCCAGATAATGTATGAGAATCAAACATTCGATTTATTTATAAAATATTTTTAACACTCACTATTACGAAAACGTATATAGACCGAAACGATAAATTTTTTAGTAGGTGTACGAATCAATCACACATAACAAATAAAAACTCACCAAAGATTTTCAAAAAGTCGATTGAACATACCTCGTTAGTGTATTTGATAGTAACTTTTACGTTGCATGATAATAATTTACTTGTTTGTTCTCGGCATTTTTTTAACAAAGAACCAGATAAGTAACCCTTACACTTATGATTATCACATTGCCTTATTGTAACTCATTTTACCTGATTTAAATTGCATTTCATATGATTGTTAATCTTGATAAATTTTATATAAAAAATTAGTTCAAAATGTATTTAATAAATTGTAAATAAAAATGATTTAATCTGAAGTTTTGCAAGTGCCGTACACGGGCACTAGTACCTGTTCAG